GCTAGGAGCTGGAACCAACTTCCAAGGGAAGTGGTGCTGGCCCCTACCCTGGGGGTCTTTAAGAAGAGGCTGGATGCCTACCTGGCTGGACTCATTTGAGTCCCGTTTCTTGTTTTGGGGTTTTGTTGTTCTCCCGCCCTGGCGGGGGGTCGGGCTAGAAGATCTACTAGGTCCCTTCCGACCCTAAATCTATGAATCTATGAATAAGTAGCTGTAAAACAAATGATAATATAAATAAAATAAAAATTAAAAATTATCATTTTATAGGGAAACTTTTACCCTCAATTTGTATTTTCATTGAATTAAAATGCTGTTAAGATGAACTAACCTGATAATGTGGTTTACACCATTGCTTCAAATCCCAGTCCCAGAGAATCATCTATAAAGAAGAAAATAAATAACAATGAGTAACAATGAAACAGAATATACCTTGATCAGAAGATTCTTGTAAAATAAATATGTTGGTGAAACATAATAATACAAGTTCAAAATAAACTTCTCTCTCAGATATTGATGCAAGAACAAGTCATGACAAACTAAGAAAACTACGCAGCAGTAATTGTCAGTAAAAGATAATTATTTTAATAGTAATGATTTAATTACTGATAAAATATTTAAAGCATCTTATTTAAATACTGTTGGAATGATAGGAGTAAAAAAAAAAAAAAAGTCATCTTTCAGAACAGAAAGGAACCACTCCTTAATGCTAATCTCTCTTTAAAATAATTTACGAGCACATGGACAAAAGTAGTGCACATTATTGGAAGAAATTATATCTTCCCAGTTAGTTAAAAATACAAAGAAGATGCCTACTGAAAGTTAACAACTCAAAATAATTGAGAATCTAACCAAAACCAAAAATTGTGAGTAAGAGTAATTAGTGGCAAACAAAACTGTTCAATAGCGGACAATACTATCTTGGTCATGTTGCTTCATCACTTTCCCTGGTACACAAAGAGCTATGAAACAATCATATTAATGGGAAAATTTGGAGTGCGAGTTTTGAAGGACAGTTCCCTCTGCATTTTAGCAGTTTGTGTTTAGTTCAGCTGTCAACATGGTCAGGAACTAGAGGTTTACTGATACAAATCAGCACCGATATAAAGGAAAATTGACATTAAATCGGCAATCGCTTTTTTTGGCTGATAAACATCACGTGCACGCATGCATCTGCAGCTCGGTACACAGGTGGCCAAGAGCACAGTGCAGCATAGCAGCTTGGAGAGCAACGTCGGGCTCATAAGTCTGGGGGGGACAGACCGAGGCCCCCACAGTGAAGGAGGCAATGGGGCTGGTGCTGGGGCAGGGGCAGACACTGTACAGTCAGGGTGCAGGAACACTGGCACCATTGCAACCCTTGTCAGCTGTGGGACTGGCAGCAGAGGGTGCATCCATGGGGCTGGGAGTCCCAGCCACAGGAGCACCTGACAATGATCAATTAATGGAGTAATAGTAACAAGCTACAATGTTATTATACATTTTTTGCGGAATAACTTTGTACCTTATTGCTTGTTTTATCTCGCCATCAATTGGGTGAATGTATTTATCACGTAGCCAACTTCATTTCCTTGTACAACAGCATAGAGCAGCGATTCCCAACGTGGTGCATGTGTGCTATGGCACCCCCTAAGGTTCATTCAGGTGCCCATGCACATTTTCACCATCAGTAAAAATCATTATTCCAACATAAAATGCTGCCACTGCTGACTGAGCTCAGGCTGTATGCAATGGCCACCAAAATGAGACCAAATCAGTTGCGCTTAGTACTCCCTCACCAAATGAAACTATGCACATGTGCATATCCAGGATGCTAAATTCTAAACTTTAATATTCATATTGGCACCTGTAGCTTTCTCTTTTAAATTTGAATGTGCCCTTAGGCACAAACTTTGGGACACAGAGCACCATTTATTGATAAGTGGGAGCAAAATACTCCAATTATATGCATACTAGATAATAGGGTTATGCAAAGTTTCGGTCCCCAATTCGATTCAGAGACTCAGCCTGATTTGGTGGCCCAGCACACTCCCCAGCAGACCCAAAGTACTTCCGATTTCACCGCTGAGCACATGGGGCACCTACTCCCCCTCCTTGGGATGCTCCATCCACTCCACCACTGTAGCATTCACAAGCCGCACCCGGTACCTCGAGGTATGTAGAAAAAAATTTAAAGCTGTATCTATGGCCAAATTGTTGATTCTCTGAATCAGCATCAAACCTTCAGATTCAGATTTGGCCAAATCTAAAGTCAGGGACAGGGATCTGAATCAACGAATCGAATCACTGTCCCCGATTCAGGCCGAATCCAAATCAAATATGGCCCGTTTCACACGCCCTTACAAGACAAGTGCATAATTAAAAGTTCATAAACACCCTACTAGCCCAATTTATTCCCTAATGCCCATGTTGCATTAAAAATTAAGATGCGAAATGGGTTACACTACGATTCCCATCGCAATGACAGTAATTCTGAGTTGTTTACATAGTTTGGTTTTCTTAAGATGACAATTCATAAATATCATGGTGGTATCCAACCAAAGGCAGGGTAGATATGCCCTGACTTCTGATCGACTTCAGACAAGCACAACTAACTACCTCTTAATACCCAACAGCGCACGTAAGTATATGCCTTAATAAATTGCTATGTATTAATACATCTTGTTTGCAATCTTTTCACAAGTTAGTATTCCATGAAACAGTGTTCCTGCCCAAGCCACTTGAAATTGTATTTCTAGTATGAATCTGTGAGAGATGAGAGTTGTCAGTGCTTTACTAAAAAAATCTGATGTTTTTCCTCAATTCAGAAATTCTACTAAAAAAAAAAAACAACTTTAAATAAACATTCACTGTAATTAGTTAATCAAAATTACAAAGGACAATTAGATATTTTCCCATATTTCAGATATTGTCCCTTGTAGTTCTGTGTAATATGTGATATGGTGATCTTGGGGATACCTTCACTTAAAGATACCCTGCAAAAACTGAGGGACTAAACTTAATGACTAAACTTAGAAGCCATTTTTAGGCATATATTCCTACGTATGTATAAGTATGTAACAGCTGTCTTGGTATATCTACCTGTCCCTAACCCAACAGCTTAATGGAATACAACATCTATACTTATGACTGTTAAAAGACTTTGCAAAAAAACAATTCATATTTTAAATATCAAAAATAGTAGTATGAATCAGGGGGGGAGACCCTTAGCTGGTATAAATCATGATAGAGCTACCAACTTCAACAGAGATGATATCAGTCAGCTGAAGATGTACCCATTTTTATTGCGTGTGTGTTATTCATATAAGCATGGTTTTCGTTCTACTTCCATGCCACATTTTTGAGCAGAGAAACAAATCTTATGACATACTTGGAAATACTATAGATCAGGGGTCAGCAAACCTTGGCACACGTGCCATTAGTGGCACATGGAGACATTTTTCTTGGCATGCCAGGAGGCGTGCAAGGGAAACAAAAAAAAAAAAAATTAAGTTGCTGTTCTGGGCTTTCCTGTGCAGCCACCAGTCCCAGCACCCAAGCAGGCACCAGTGCAGAGCCAGGAGAACACAGGCAAGGAAGCTGTCTGTGTTCTACTGCCCCTACTTCTTGCACCCAGGCTTTGCGCTCCAGCCCAGCTGACCCCTGGAGGGAGCTATGGGTGGACAGGGCTGGGGCCAGTGCAGACACTGCACACGGTCGCTGCCCTGCAGGCTTCCAGCAGGTGGCAGAGCCCTGGGCCTAGGCAGGCAGATATCCTGTTCCACCTGGGCAGGGCAGAACTGGGGTGCCGAGTGTTGGGGCCAGACGATGGGGGCAGGGTCTGGGTGGTGGCGCTACGGGAAAGCCACCCTGGTCGGGCCCTTAGAAAGACGGGGGCTGGATGGGCAGGTGGGGATGCCCAGCGGCACCCATGGTGGGGCATGGCCCAGCCCACACAGCTCCTCAAGGATGGGCCACTGCCACCCTGCATGCGAGGGGATGCTGCCTGGCTGGGGCAGAACGCTGGGCTTGTGGGGCTTCCAGCTCGTGAATCGGCCTCCTTGTACGCTAGGCACACTGCAAGCAGGGCAGAGCCATCTCCAGTGCAAGGGCCTGGCCATGGGAGCCCCCTGGACCCTGCAAACACAGTCACCAAAGCTGCCCCAGCATGCCTGGACCCCAGCTTTGCCCACACACAGCTCCCAAGGGGCCAGGACCAGGGCAGGCACTGCACAGAACTGCTGCACTGCAGACTCCCAGCCAGCTCGGCCTTGAGCACCAGCTGTGGCGGGTGTTCCCAGAGCCAAGGGAAACAGCCTGCAGTTGTGGCTCCTACTCGCACTGTACCCAGCACACGCAGGCCAAGCAGGAAGCCCCCAGAGTCCTGCCCCAGCCAGGCAGCATGCCTTTGCAGGGTGGCTGTGCCCCATCCCCGCAAAGCTGCACGGGCTGGTTGGGTCCCACCTTTAGTGCTGCTGGGCCTCCCCACTGTGGCCCAAATGTGCGGAGCCCTGAGGCAGCCCCTACTCCCCACCTGACACCCGCTCTCCAGCCTGCCTGCCTGCCGTGACTCCCCCTATGCCTGCTGCTCCTGTCTCCCTCTCTTTCCCCTCTCATCACAACATGCTTAACAAGAAAAAAAAATCCTAAGTACAGAGGCAGTACATGAAGTTTTATTTATTGTCACCAGGTTTAGAATTTTCAGAAAACCTGATATTTACTGTAAAAAAAAGCAGCATTTATGATTAACTGTATTAAATATGCTGTGCATCCTGCCATGTACCCCACCTCCCCACGTTTTGTTTTTGTGGTGTGCCGGCACTCTGGCACCTTACAAGGTAGGCATTGTGGGTTTTTCAGCACTCGAGCCAAAAAACGTTGCTTACCCCTGTTACAGATAAGTCAAAGAATATTTTTAAACTAAAAAAACAAGTTATGTTTGGGTCTTTATTTTATTACAGCATTATTAACACTCCCCCCTCTATAAATTAATATGTAATGTCATTTAAAAAAAAAAAAACTCATTCTCTTACCCAAAAACATTCTGATTCTGTTCAGAAAACAACAAACAGCTTTTTTTTTTTTTTCTGTAAACACTTTGTAGAAGCAACCTAGATTAACATTAACCCCAAAACCTTAGAGACATCTGCTGTGGCTAATTGGAAAAAAGAAAAAGAAAGAGAAGATGCTCAAATGCCTTTTGAGCAAGTGTATTTTCATGCTAAAAGAGTATTTTGTTAGGCATTGCTTTTTGAAGTCAATCACAAACTTACATCCTGAATAGCTTTATAAAGCCACCAAAACCACAGAGAAACGTCACCAACACAATCAGAAGATGTTATCAGCTTCTGGTACGTCAATTGGATTCATTTGTTCTCTCTGCAGACCAAAAATAAAAACTAC